GGCGTGACCTTCTCTTCACCCATGGTTCTTACGTGGAGGATTAGGGTTTCTCTGCGCTATCTTGGCAGACCGTCGTCGAGGAGCTCTTCAGCAGCATCACTTAAACGGTGACGTTTGGCTCTGAGGCCATGTTGAACGTGGCAACCCGAAATACCTCCTAAACGCACAGTTTGATCAATCTGAATACTTCATTAAGATCAAAAATGGATTACATTTCGGGCCTACCGAGACCCATTATATATACAAGTCACAGTGACAATCAAACTACACTCAGATACGCAACTAGAAACTAATCCTCATGGGCTACATACATTCGGGCCCATCACACTAATTTAGGCCTACAAAACTAAACAGGGAAAAAATACAAGGAAACAAATGAATCAAATATTTCAACAAAGTGGGCCAAACTCAGAATCTCTGCGAGCCTAAATTAACATTTACGAAGCCCAATTAATTTCATAAAGTATACGACTATGGTTTTTCAAATTAGGGTCAATTATGTCTAAAAATCAATATGATATAGTGAAGCTAATGGTTCAGCATCGCGGTTTTGTACAGAGGAATTTTAAGGAGGGATAGCGAAGAGTAGTGGGGATGAAGGGTTTGTTAGGAATACAGGTGACAAGAATGATCGAGAAGCTTCAGCTTCAATAATATGTTCTAGGATTGGTTATTAAATATAGCTCAAGAACTAATTATTTATCAGGTTCAATTGATGAGTAATTAATTCTCAAACTTAACTCCATAAATACTATCTCTGCTCTCTAATATAAAAATTAGTTGAGAGTTAGATTTTGTCTTGAATATAATACTCAATTCACTTTTTTCTCCTAAATTTATAATTTTTCCTAAAATATCATTATTGATTGTACAAATTAAGGGGTTCTTACTAAGGAGTAATTCACATAATTAAATAAGATAGTTTAGAGAAACTAACACATATTTATTATCAATAACTAACTTAACTAATTTTTTAATATTTACAAATTAGTTATCTAATTATTATATTAAGAGTTGAAGGCACTATACCATTTCTCGAAGTCAAGAACCAACATGATGAGGCTTGATATGTTTGAGAATGGATATTGTCCATTTCTGATGTGTAAATGTTTATTTTTACGTTGTAATTGAACTATGTATAGAGGGTGTAAGGTAAGTTTATATTGATATGTGAATATAAAAATTTTTGTGTATCTTAATTCAAGTTTTAATGTAAGGATTAAAATTAAGACTACAAATAGGATTGTTAAACTCATGATAGGGATACAAACTCGAATTGTAAATTTGTAAGAGTTTATTTTTCCTAATAAGTTGGTATTAAAATTATATAATTAAATAATTAAAATATAAACATGAGAATAATTTCATTTAAATATATTTTGAATCCAAATAATTGAAATTAAATCCATGCGTGTTTATAATTTACCATATTCAATAGAGATATTTCTATGAAATTCATATATATAGTCACTAAACATAACTAAATAAAAAAATTAATATGATTTAAAAGTGAGTTTGACACGATTTTGTAAGCTAAAATATAAAAACAATAAACTTGATGATTATTAACTCATAAATTTAACTAAGTTTTTAGTATTATGAGTTGAAAAGTGAGTTAACACAATTTTATAATCTGAAAATGTAAAAATATTAACTTAGAGTAGTCAACTCGCGAACACTGACCGCAAATATTTACAGCATTCAATTCAGTTATTTAAGGCTCATCATTTGAGAACAAGTTGCACTGCGTATCCGGCCACATCTATTATTTAACACTTGCTCCGAAAATTTATGACTATCACCTCTATTATTTACCACGAGGAGTACAATTTGTCATTCATACATTATTGTCTTGCAGAAAAGGACAATGCATAATTTATAATAATTTCATATGTCCATGATCTCTTGGAATAAAAGACTTATGAATTTAGTTTAGACATATTTTTCCCTTTCAATTATCAGGCTTGGTATTCTTAAATTAAAAATATGTGTTGAAGGCTCTAGAAAGAGAGAAATTTACGTGGTCAAAGAAATTGCTGTGAGATAATGGGTAATGACAAATGTGCATAGTGGCTCTCTAAGATTCAATACAATTTTTGAGATTTAAAGTTTAAACATGTGAGCAAATACAAATTATTTGCATCAGGACGCATTTGTGTTTGTCTATAAGATATACTCCTCCGATTTTAAATATAAGACCCATTTTGTAGTATAAATTACACTATAACATGGGTCTCACATTTTGTAGTGTAAATTACACTACAAAATGAGTATTACAATTAGGATTAAAAGAGTACCAATTTTGAGTATAGATATTATTGATTTTCACTTTTAAAAAAGAAAGATTAATTCAATTAATGTATAAATTTGCAAAGGATGTAATAAGTCCAGTAAAATTTGTAGTGAAGTAATGATTCTTGAGAATGATGATTGCTACATTGTCATAGTTTAGCTTCAATCAAAATACATCTTAATCCTAAATATAAGACCTATTTTATAATACAAAATAGGTAGAACTGGATAAGTATCTAGATATGTACTGTTTTTTTTTTTTAAGTATCTTCGGAAATATGAACCTGGACAACGTGAATTATAGGAAGAATATTAGTATGGGATGATATTATGAGATTATAATACTATTGTATTGGCTTTTGGAACCAAGGAATATGATCATTAGTGATATAGTCTGCTTAACTTAATGATGGTGAATACAATGAGTATGTTGGACTCATCTTTAACCTAAAACGTGAAGTGTGCATTTAATTTAGACATTTTAAATTTTAAATATTTTACATTTTAGTTTATAAAATTATCTTTTGGGTCATTAATAAAAAAAAAATTGATCTTCTATGTTAAACTCTATTTATAGTGAAATAAGAAGTTAAATTACGAAAATAGTACAGAAATGTAAATTATTTAAGTGTGATTTGGTGCTTTGATGCACAAACATATCAATTTTAAATATCAAAATTGCAGATTTCTTAAAATATATCCAAACATCCACTATTAGAGCCAAAATATAATACATATACGTGTATATATGTACACATGTATATTTATACATAATGTAAAAATTTTTTTTTATAAAAAAAAAGTGCATTATTCATAGGCAGGGGAACAAACATCACGGCCCATGCAAAAACATTGGACTCAAATTATTGTTTCACCAAACGGATTTCTTTCTTTTTGAGTCCAAAAAAAAAACGGATTTCTTTCTTTTCTTTTCTTTTTTTTTTCCCTTTTTGCCAACCACTAAACGGATTGACTTGTGTAATAAAACTTGACCAATATTTAAAAATCTGATCAAATTATTAGTTTTTTTCCCCCTTAAATCTATTATTATCAGTGAAAGTCACCGTCAAGAAAACTGTTGTCACTAATTTACATGCAATATAAATAAATAAATATATTTATATATAACGATAATAGCAGAGCCCAGTGGCAGTGTGGCCCAGTTAGGTGACGACACACTAAATATCACTGTCCGGGGTCCATTTTCTGGTTAAGAAATCAAATACATGTAATCCTATCATTGTACCAAACTGTCCAGTATGTATTTCAGTTACTCCACGTTTTGATTATATAACACCATGTCTTATCATTCTTAATATCAAATCATTCATTTTTTTGTTGAAAAAAATATAAAATTAGATAACTATATGAAAGTGAATATAGTTTTTTTTTTAAAGAAAAAAACAGAGTGAGTACAACAGAGGTGGGGTATGATATTAATAATATGTCTCTTTCGTTCCCGTAAAAAGCATAGCAAAAGGATCTTTTGAAATTTGGTTTTTTATAAGACAAATAAAAGTGCGACACAGTAAATGTCATTTCCCAGTTAGCTTTATAATGACAATAAGTAAATAAATACAAAGAAAAAAGAGGCTTGCTGTTACGTTACAAACATCAACAAATTGAGAGGCATCAAAATAGTCCTCTGCCCACCAAACGAAGGTTAGGTTTAATAGAAGAAACTAGTCCTTCACGACATGATGAATCAATGTTCAAATTTTCACTCAGAGAGGTGCTCACATTTAATGCCACTCAGAGAGGTGCTCACATTTAATGCCTAACAGTGTCTCGATTACCTCAAATAGAAAAATACTTATATTTTGATAAAAAAGAACAAATAGTGCTCTGGCCCATCTCACTTCCTCTTTTCCAACTTTCCACCTTCTTTCTGTCACATTCTCCAATTTAAAGTAACACCGTCCACTCAAAAATTCACATCTATCAACAATAGTTGAATTTTAGGCATAATTTTGGTTTCAATTTTGTTAATTAGATGAAAAGAATCACCCCATATGAGCTATCCTTATTTTGATTTTGATCTGAATTTTAATTACTTGATAATGCGCCAAATTATTATTAGTAGCTAGATTGAGAGTTCCAACCTCATGGTGTAAAAAAGACAAGTTGAAGAAGTTATCACCAATTGAACATAATACTAACGTTTAAATCTAGCCCAGTAATATTGGATCCCAAATAATTAATAACATTAAAAAAAGGAAAGAAAAGGGATAGTAATAAGAAAAAATTGTTGAAAAATCTCCCAATTTGTAAATTTATTGTCCAAATGTATTTAAGGACCATATCCTTGAGTAGCTCAAGGGGAACCCATCTTCAGCGAAAGCAATTTTTTTTAGCCCTATGTAGCATATTTTTATTATATGCAAATATCTTCTGTTTTACTACATAATTAAAAAAAGAGTTACATTCGTTAAAAATAGGTTGCATCTAATCTGTAAGCAAATTTTAGGTACCTCTTCTAACAAAGATACATGTGCCTAGAAAAAAAATTACGTATTTCTGGAGACTAAATTTTGCAATAGGGTGTTTTTGAGCAATTTTTTCTAGTGATAAATGCAGGGGAAAAAACGGTAAAAGGGGTTTATTTAAAAAGAGAAGGAAAAAGTCTATCAATCAATGGGTTGATCCATCACTTTTATATGCCCATAATGTTTGGATGGTATCACTAAAGGATATTGCTTCCTTTAGTTGAGAAAGATACACAGGAATTGATATTCATCTGTTCCCATCCATGCCCCAGCCAGAGTCTTTAGTGGAGGTTGATCCTTCATAAAAGTTCTCTTTGCAATTGTGGGGATTCTTTCTCCCAAGTCAAACCCCAAACACATTTATACACACAACATTCATTGTACCCACCATTATATAATCCCTTCTTCTTTTCTTTCTTTCTCCTACGTTCATCTTCTTTTAGCTTTAGATTCTCTTCAACAATGTTTAACTCACAAGCCGACAAAACAACTTAGTGTTGTTTAATTACTGGCCACTGCCTTGTGAACAGTAATAATTATTAAGACTCCTCTTTAATTATTATATTATCTCTTTCACCGCATATATAATAATGATAATGATAATAATAATAATCTCTACTGCTTCTTCTAGAGTCTCTTGATTGGTCCCATTTGTATGGTCCTGTCTAATAGATCCATAAAATGATGACTCTGGCTTCTGATTAACCTCTTCACCCATCTCTTTTTCTCTTTTCGTGAATCCTTATCTACTTCTGCCAAACGTGTAAACAAGTGTTCATGGGGGTGGTAAAAAGACAAAAGATCATCCTTCTTTTAACGTTTTTCTTTTTAAAAAACTCGCCTCTGGTTTTTCTTGTCCTGCCAACCATTTTTGTCGTTAATTCATGGATCGTTTGCTGTTGTGGGGTGAAAAGGATGGTTATC